AGGATGAAGCAGGGTCGGACCCAGAAAGCTCAGAGGAAGCTGAGGAGTCTGCAGGTGAGGCCCCCAAAGAAGAAAATAATGAAAAGACCGAGGCTGAGGCGAGAGCAACGAAGGAGGACGCACAAGAAGGTGCAAAGAAGACTGATCATTCCGATGAAGAGGATCAAGATGATGAAGGACAGTCTGAAAAAGAACCAGTGGAGGAGAAAGCAAAACAGGAGGAGCGTTCCGACAGTGAAAGTGAAGAAGACACACAAAAGATAGAAGAGGACAATGTGAAAGAGACCAAGAACGAGGAAAGCGGAGTCGGAGGGGAGGGTGGTGGTGGTGGTGGTGGTGGTGGTGGTGGTGGTGGTGGTGGTGGTAGCTCTTCTAGTTCAACAACATCCTCTAGCTCATCAACATCGTCTAGTTCTTCAAGTCCGAGTTCACCCAGCATCAACATCAGCATCAGTGTGACAAGTGAAGACCATTGTGAGGTAAATGGTGATAGTGAAGTTGAACTAGAAAGAATGGCAACGGTTTCCCAACGAAAGGCTGTTTTGGATGGGGCACAGCTAGGGCGGTATGAGGAAGAATATTGTTTGAAGAAGTGTCCTGTGCTCGCTGCGCAGGAGGCATTGCAGCCAGAGCCAAAAGCTGAAAGGAGGAAAACAATCCATCCCTCGCAGCGCACAGCCCACCTGCTGGAGATGGCGAAGAAAAAACACGAAATGACAGCTGGACAGGAAGGAGCCAACAAGGGGCCACCAAAAAAGAAAGCAAAGAAGGAGAAGGAACGTGATGCAGGCGTCAAAATGGAAGTCAAAGAGGAAAAGGATCAAGAGTCTGAGGACATCGAGACTGCGTTGGAGAAGGAGATTGACAAGTCAAGCCAGGGACATGGGGCGTCTAAAAGGCCAGCTCCAGTGGTTCCAACAAAGCGTTTTCGGAAGAAGTCCTCTGGTTCCTAATCTGGATTTACTGTTTTGTTGATTTTTGGTTGTCTCCATACATGGTCAGTCTAGTCAACAATATCCGAGGCTTGCCACAGATGGCTGAAACAGCAGCTTCTGCGAACACCGAAGAAAAGAAAGAAAAGACGAAGGGAACTACAAAGTCAAAGAACGAATCAACTGTTGTCACAGAGAAGTTCGAGGACCTCGCGTTAAGCGCCTTCAAGATAACCATCAACAGAGTGCAACAGGTAGCTATCAAGAACTTGGGCGGCAGAGTCCCCACACCAGCTGAACAACTTGCACTTATTGCCCAACGAAGAAAAAGAACCAAAGAGTCCAAAGTGTGCCATACTTGCATTTGGGAAAGAGTTGTGTTTTAACTCAGCTTAAACATGTTTAAACACAATTATACACAATTCACGGATAGTTCATTCCAGATCGGAACCTAAGGATTACCGAACTCCTAAGCAACATCTCGTTGCAGGACGGTTGGACTGTTGAGATCCGCCATCGGTTATCCGGAAAGGCTGCTGGGCAGTGCTACAAGGTCTTTAAGGACAAGTCGGGAACAAGCCACTGGACCATGATGCTTGGTGGTCACATTCAGGGTGTCTCTATAATTCGCTGTTCACACGAACACTTCTGAAAATTGAATTGGTGCTGTTCATCTTTAGTTGCCCCGTGACCCAGGAAGCAAGCTAAAGAAAAAGGGTTCAAGGATCCTGATGGCAAAGTAGCTGCTGCTCAAACCTGAGCCCAAAAAGAAAAGAAAAAAACATCAGAAGTGAAGGGGCAAAGGCACAGGGGACCATAGGGTCATGGGCCTATTATGTTGTGTTTAAAAACGGTACCGACATATGTCAGGTGTTCTGCTTTCGATGCCCCCTGTGCAATGTACAGCACCACACCGCCCTTCGACCCAGAACCGTGGTTTTGACCACGCCTTGCTGTTGGGGAAGAAAGGTCACTGGCGCGGCACACCTCAGCCACACATGCGACGCAGTTGTGTGCAAGGATTGTGAGTAGTTTTTTTGAACGAGCACCTTTGGCCCCAGCCCAAACGGTTTGGTTTGGCAGCTATGAACCCAAAGCTGCTCCTGCCCATTTTGGGTCTACTAGACCAAATTCCTCTTCCTGGGCCAGAAGGAAGAAATGATTTTGTAACCTGGTGAAACTTGATGATGGGAATGATGGTGTCTAAAAGAATGCTGAACATAATTCTGGACCACCTTTCGATTCCAAGGTAGAACTTTGTGCGGGAGAAGGTCATCTCAGCCGAGCCCTTTGGTCATGTGGCTACCATGGAAAAGCCTTTGATGCAACTTGGCTCCACATGGTTCCATGTTTGGAGCCTTCCAGAGTAGCAAACAGGTGGAACCATCCTAAACATGAGGTTCGCTTCAGCAAGAACCACAACCTCCTCCGCACTGTTGGGTTCCTGACAGTCTTGGCCGCCGTGTGTTCCCCAGAACTTTTGAGGGTGTCCTTTGGTAGCCCGTCCTAGAAAAGCCTAAGGTCCGGAACATCCGCCCTGGAGGATGTATAGTTGCTGCCCCACCATGTGGCACGTGGGTTTTTCTGTGACTTAGCTAGTCAGGAAGTTTGGAATTACAATAACTGTTGATAACTTGGAATGCATTCGGGTCTTTTACCAAGGAGTTCCCCGAGCACAGGACGAACTTGGATGGATCCAGAAGGTTTCAAAACCAAAACGTGCGTCCTGAACAACATTTTGGTGATGCGAGTTCTTTACATGAGCCTTGGCTGAAGACTCGTTGGGTTGAACAAAAAACGGAACATGCACCTGTGGTGCCACGTCAGTGCACTGCAAGCCAAGCTAAGTCTATGGTATGCTTGGCAAAGAGGGGTATTCTTTATTTGGGAGCAGCCACTTTCATCGGTCTTGGCCTTGGCCATGCGAAGGTTATTCGATTAGGGTCGATTGCGACTTTGTGTGATTCAGGTGATGTTTGCTTGGAAACCTGTGCAAATGTTTCTGGCCAGTTGCAACGCCAGGAGGGAACAAACATGTGTTCAAAATCTTCTGACCAACTTTTGTATGTCATTTTTGGAGGCGAGTTTCATTCCCGATGGGAAGCTTTGGTGCAAAGACCATGAAGTTTACAACGCTCCTGGGAGAAGAACATTCACAACAACAGGGCGCGCGGAACTGCTTTTGGCTGCCTTACGCCGACTCAGGATATGGGGAACGCTACCATCCTTGCACTCGTTGAAGAGGCCCATCAATATCAAGCAGCTTCGAGAAGCACTTGCCAGGACTGAGATTTGTTTAGGGTGCCCTCAGGCGACCCAGAGCTAAGAACAGTCCATCAAATTTGAAGTGTTCTGCTTCGCTCCTGGTGTCATGGGTGGATTCATTTTGTTCTTTTGTCCTTTAAAGCATATAAAAAGTCTTGGTCGAATGTGTGGTCTTCTCTCGTGGCACTCCTGCATGACACTCTTGTAGGACACTCGTATATGGGACACTCTTGTGGGACACTCTTGCATGACACTCTTGTAGGACAC